TCCACAGATACGAAACAACTTCTTCCGGGCCAAGATGCCGTAACGGATGAGGGGAAGAGGCGAGGGAGGACGAAGAGGAGGAAGAGGAGGAGGAGGAGGAGGAGGAGGAGGGTTGGTTGCTCAAAATGTAGCGAACCTGGGGACAGAAAGTGGAAGGGAAGAAAAAGAAGAAATACAACGGCTGAAAAATTTCATGACCGTATAAGGAACAAAGGACGCATGGCAAGAAAGTGGAAGGGAGGAAGGAAAGGAGTGAGGAAGGAAGGGAGGGAGATGACGGTCTACCTGAGAGAGGACAGAGACGAGCGATTGTACGCGTTGCTCCATGACAGTCCGAGCCTCTTGGTCCGCGGTGGAATAGTTGTACATGGAAGGGGAGCCTGTGGGAAGGAGGGAGGAAGGGAGGGAGGGAATGAGGGAGGGAGGGAAGAAGGGGTGGAAAGACGAGGAGAAAAAGGAGGAAGAGGAAGGAGGGAGGGAAAGGAGGGAAAGGAGAGGAAGGGACGGACCGTCTGACAAGCTCTCCATCAGTTTGTAAGGGAGTATGCGACGTTCAAACTCTGCGAAACGGAGGACTTCTGCCGTGTATTTTTGGAGCCAGACCGGCATGTCCGCACCCTAGAGGGCAAGGAGGGAGGGAGAGAGGAAGGGGATGGGGGAGGGAGTGAGGAAGGGACAGAGGGAGCGATTCAGGCCTCAGAGACCTTTTGAGTCTAGCCCCAGGGGGAAATTAAGCTTGCCTTCTCATTCTTCCTCCACATATGCGTTTCCCTCCCTCACTTACTTGCCGATTTTCACCCTGTAACCCCCCCTTCTCCCCCCTTGCTCTCTCCCTCTCTACCTGGAAAGCCGCTTTTTTGATCCCGTGCTTTGCTAGCGTATCCTGATCAAGCGTGGAGACCTTCATGCCTGCAGCAAACGCAGTGAGGGAGGGAGAGAAAGAATAAGATGGGGAGGAGGAAGGCAGGGAGGGAGGTAAAGAAAAGCAAGGCAGGCATCCACGAGCCCTTTGGTAACCAATAAGATGCGTCGTCAAATCTTTCCTCCTAGTTCTCGGAAGACTGAGGCGGAGAGAGGAGGTCGGGAAGGGGAGAAGGGATGGTAGGAAGAAGGGAAGGAGGAAGGGAGGGAGGGAGGGCTGACCTATGCCTGCGTGCATGAGGGTGGCAAATCGCTTGGAAGAGCCGTAGTTTTGCTCCAACACCTTGTGAAACATATCGTAGCCGGCGAAGTGGAGAAATGAATTGCTGGAGGAAGGGCTGCATTTACCGAGCCGGAGAGAAACGGAGACAACACAGG